TTTACATTATTATTATTATGATTATATAAAGAAGGATAGTAGCAAATTTGTATTGTATGCTTTATAATTTATAAAAACGTCTAAATAAACACGAGCACAGGGTTTTGCAAAGTTATGGAAAAATAATTTGTATGTCAAAAGTTTAAACATTACTTTTATTCGTTTTTTTATTTGGCCATTTGATCGGTATTGGAGAGTTTTTATAAAATTTCTAATTTACTTTCTATTTACCTTCTGTCGGAAGTGATTAGCCAATCAGAGCACGGCATTATCCACTGCACACTAGATTGCTACAGATAATGCAGGGCTCTAGGCACGTTTAAGTAATGTATAAACTAATTTTAAACTTGTATGTGTAAATAAAGAATAAATAATAAAACTAATGTACATAAAGCTCTAAAATACACTGCCATTAAGCTCATCAAATAAAGTGACAATTTTTTTGGCGGTTGATGCCAAAAACAGAACGTTAATTGCACAAAATCGCAAAAACAGTTCGAGTAGTACTTTTAAGTAACTAATAATATTAATTATTATAATAATAAATCGTATTATGTATGTCTAAATGCCATACTTTGTTTTAATTATATGAAAATAAGGTCTGGCGGTGTTAAAATCCCCCCTTTAATAAAATACACTCACTTATAAATTTAATAAATTTGTACACTGCCCAAAAAAGTTACTAGATATAGCTTATACAATAATTTTTTTTTTTTTATGGACGAACGAATCACTTATATAATAAATATAAACAAAAATATCTTATATCTGCCAGTTCAGTATATTAATTAATTAATTTCAATTTTCAATCAATTTTCAATTAGGTAATTTTAAATCACTTTATCTGCGAAAATTCCCCTTTTAGGAAAACCTGACAACGTTGCCTGGTGCATGGTTGTATCATGGTCTGGTGTTCCAAAAAGTAGAGGCGCTGATGTCAAGGTTAAAATGTATGGGTTTTTGTGTAAACATTTCAATTGTGATATAAATAAACGATAACTTTGCAAAACCCTAAAGTTCTCGGATACATTCTAAAACTTAATGGGTACAATTTGTTTTTCTAGAATTGTTAAAGAATTTAGCTCAAAATAAGTAATTTGGGTGATCTACTGCCAGGCGGGAAAATATTTCGTTGAGCACTTTTAATTCCCATCATGGTTCAAAAAAATATTTTCACCCTGTATACCATTAATGGTAGAACTAACTAGTTTTAACACATACTTTGTAATATTATATGTATATAGCACACATGTTGCTTGTATGTTAAGTTTATATAAGGACTTATACCAATATTTTTAAACTTGTTTTTAACATTGAAATATATCCAATCTATTACTGACCCAACCAAAAAACCTTCTAAATTATTATTATAGGCGATACAAATTTCAAATATGTATGTATAATCAAAACGCCAAGAGCAATAATTACGTTTAGCTTGGATATATTCACCAAAATAAATTCTATATTATTTATAACAATATTACTCCTTACTTTGTTTTTGCTGGACCTACTATTGAATATTAAAGAAAAACATCTAGTTTTAGATTCAACATAGATCTGCGTAGATAGATATATTCGTTGAACCATAATTATGAGAATAATCAGTATATCGAAGAAGTTGCAAGAAATTAAATAAGTAGCCCTGATCTGTCAGTTCTTATGGCACCCGTTTGTCCTTTACCGTAAAGGCTTTACGTCACTCAGTTTCAAAATTACCAGTAAAGGCAACGCACCAAAATAATCCAATCAAAAAATGCATACAAAACTTTTTTTTGTCCCAACTTGGGCATCTAAATATGTGAAGTTTTATATTACTCCGTAAATTTTCTCCAGGATGCTGTAGCAATTTTTGATTGAATTATTTATTTCTAAGTCTAAGTCTTCGACACAAAAATGCACAAAAGTCGCTGCTTGCCCAAAAAGTCCAAACTTTTAGTCAATTAGATAGGGGCGTACTTAACGCTAAATTTTGTTGTTGGCCTAAACATGGGGACAGGGGATCTTAAGAACTGCCCGTGTCAAAAAGATGGCAATTATTATTCTAAATGTATATATTGTTACATATAAATAAATAATAATCATATAATATTAAAAAAAATTGAATTACGTTTTTTTATTGATTAATCGGGAATATGTGAAGCATGGTTGCTAGATCTAGATATACACTTTTAAGTAAAAAAATTGTAGATATTTTTAAAAATGATTATGAAAATTTAATTGAGAGTACGGAGTACGTTCCTCTCGTGAAAAACGTTTTTGGTAACATTTGTCGAAATCGTTTTGTGTTTGTCCGATGATATTTTGGTACACATGGAACTAAACTGTATCCACGCAATGTGTGTATGAATTGTACGAATGCTGTGAGGTAATTAGGTTTAGTATTATGTTAATATGAATTATGGAAATTACGAAATATGTAAACTTTCCTGAATGCAATAAAATTCTATCTCTATATGAATTCACACTTTTTTTTCTACCTACTTACCATAGATGACCGAAGGTATAGATAGCCGACTCTCGTTAGAAAATCGAAACAAAGTCAATTTAACAGCGGATATCACCGCCCGTGGCGCTGCAAGCAATCCATTCTAGATAGCGACATCTATTGCCCAAGGACATTTTAAAACGCCTGGAATCTACAGTGCGACATCTAGTGTGTGATATCTGTACTAACTTAAATCTCCTTGAAATTTAAAATTGTAAACCGTAAAAATTTTGTTTTAAATACAAATCTGGCTCGAATGAAACTGACTAACAAATATATTTAAATCGGTTAATTTTTATTAAAGACTTTCAGAAATTAATTATTATATTGTGAGACAATGAGTCTTTATAAAAAAAATTTAATATTAAAACCATTGTCTAGAAATTTTAAACAAACATATTTAAATATGTTGTATTTTCAGATGTTCAATAAGATTTGGTAAGCTTTATTATAAAATTCACCCATTTTAAAAGAAAACAAAATTTAATATAATATTACTAAGGCTTAAAGTTTTCATGCTTATGTTGGTTTTCTCTTAAGATGTTTGCATTTTATAATGAATTCTATCAAATCCAATAGAAATACTTATTGGTAAGTTTCATACTAATCAGATTTGTATTTTAAACAAACTTCTCACATTTTACAATTACAAAATTTAAGGCAATTTAAAAGTTCTCATATTAATCACTAAATGTAACATTGTAGATTACAGGAGGCGATATACAATAACTGTATTAATTAATAATGAGTTTGAAAAATCCTTGAATTAGGAAAATGTAATAAAACAAACAAATTATGATTTTAGATATTTTTTTAATGAAGTATATAAAAATAAAGTTTACAAGTATAAAATAAAGCAAATATAATAATATAAAAATAAAGTTTACAATTATAAAACAAAGCAAATAAGCATTAATATCTAAACCAAAAAAAATTACTAATTTAGTTAACAATCTTTTTTAAATTTTTAATAGCCTCCTTCTTCTTCTTGGACTCATTTTTTACCTATTTATAAGGCATTTTTTATATATTGTATTGGTTATTTCTAAAGTTAACTAACTTACGTCAGGATCCTTAGGAAACGAGTGTAATACTGCCTCGTTACTTGTATTTCTACAATTAACAACAGCACATTTAAACACCATTGTAAAAAAGTCAAACTAACAAAATCGCACAAAAGGAAAACTTGTTTGTCTAGAACAAAGCTGGAACAAAACCTTCGGTCATCTATGAACACAACAATAATGGGGTCTCTAAAGTTTAAACGACAAATTGACAAATTGTCAAATTGACAAAGATGTCACCTAAAAAAGCGTGTTATTTAAATTCTGCTGCTTCAGCGCTATAGTCGATCCTATCTGCAACTAATTTTAAGGTCTGAAAAGGAAGGGGGAGTGAGCATAGCATGCTACTTACCCTTAAAACATTATACAAATATTGCGGCATCACGACAAAATAAAGCCTTATAAGTAGAGATGGGAAAATTCCCATTTGACGAAAATTCCCGGAAACTTTCCATCGAAAATTCCCGAAATTTTCCGAAAGTTTCAAAAAAAAAATTTTTATTGCGAAAATATTTTTTTTATGCCAGGGATTTGCAAAAATATATAACACATTAACTTTTTGTCAAATTTTTGGTTGCATTAACGACATAGATTTTCTTACAGAACTTGCTTTGAGCATGGTCTTTTTTGTTTTTTGCACTATTTTGTAATAATTCCAAACACTAGATTTTTCTCTTGGCATTGTGCTATGCCTATAAATAAACAACAAAAATGTAAGAATGATTTTAACTTTGTTTATTGGTTTTATTTTGTTTACCTTTTTCTAAAAAAGTTTTTTGTGATGATACTGAATAATCCGGCTTCATTGAGGTTATGTAACATAACTTACATTATTTATACTTCTTCTTCTGCTTTAAATTAACACAAATTAAATTCTTATTCAAAGTTTTTTGGCCTTGTATCATGGCCTTAACGAAAATCAGCGGTTAAACAATTGACATTTAAATGAAAAAACAAGGAAAGTTTCCAAGGAATGTTTCCAAGGAGTGTTTCCGGTAGCTTAAAAGAAACTTTCAAAATGAAAATAAATTCCCAATTGAAAACTTTCCATAACGGAAAGTTTCCTTAAAATGGAAACTTTCCGATTCCCATCTCTACTTATAAGTAATAAAATATTCCAACAAGTCTCCTAAGAACATCACTTTTCTCAAACCCACCCGAAAACAACACTTTTTCTCCGCCTCACGGTAGTTCAAATGTCCCACTCGATTCGATCTAATGTCAACAGTGTTGCCAATAAGCAAGTGATACCTTACATTAAATTATTAGGGGGGATTTCATGGTGTGTAAGGAATTTTGTAAGTAAAGTACAATTATATCACATTTCATAATATAAAGCAAAATCCACCCATTGTGAGTAACCCAAACTTTTCACTCGGTAAATTGGTAAAATCCATTGGCAACGCTGAATGCCAATGACATTGAACTTTGAATTTGACAGCTGATTACAAAAAGAGGTTAAATCCAAAACTAAAGTTCGTTTCATCGATAAGAAATGTTCGGATTGTTGTCAACTCTCAGTCAAGTGCTTAAACTGGGCCCCAGGGGCTTTGTTCGCCAAAAATTCAAGCTACCCTTCGTTAAGTTCATACACGACACAGTGGATTTGTATAAAAAACGCACGAAGTCTGGAGTAAATAGCATAAGAGACATTTTATTTAGGGGCACGGTTATAGCCTTAATTACAGCTGTATTAGTATGGCTGTCAATATTTATGTATGTGGCTTTTTATTATGTTTATGTGCCAACAATATCTCACGAGAGGCCGGTATTTTTAAAGTTTAAGTGAGTAAGTGACTTATGTAATTGTTTGGGGTGTAATATTTATGTTTAAGACCCTGCGGGAACGCCAATAGTTGTAAAGAATACAAAGAAGTATGTAGTTTTCCTTCGGCTCATGTTCAGCTGACTAAACGGCAGCAACTTTTAATGACTGGCCAGCCTTATAGGATACATTTAGACTTGGAAATGCCGGAATCGCCTACAAATAGAGCCTTGGGTAAAATTTTACTATATTTTTTGTACAAAACATCCAATTTTATCCTTGTTTTTGTATTCAAATGTTCTTTAGGTATGTTCATGGTTTGTGCAGATTTTCGAGATGGAGAAGGACAACTAATAGCAAACTCATGTAGATCCACTATGCTTCATTATAGAGGAGCATTATTAGATACCATGTACAAATTAGTTTTTAGTCCTTTTTACGTTTTGGGCACTGCAGAAGAAAAACAAAATATTCATGTGGAATTATTTTCGAACTATGAAGAACAAGAAGTAATAATTCAAATGTTAAAATTTACCAATTTAATCGTTTATATTTTAGTTTCAACCTGTTACTGATATTTACATTGAAATCCAATCTCAGCACATAGAAATATATTCAGCTAAATTTTTATTGAATGCCAATTTCGCAGGACTTAGATATGTTATGTTTAACTGGCCAGTACTTTCTGCTGCTTTGGGTAAAACATTATTTTATTTAACAAAAAACTCATACAATAAATATTTGAATAAATCTACTAAACCATGCCTCTTTTTAATTTTATTAAAAAAAACATTCAAGACAATGCTAGATTTGTTAAAACAAGCAAATTTCGCTTTAAATAGTAGAAATTTCTAAATATTTTTATCACTTCAATCCGACTTTGTATTCTTAAAGAAATTTTAATATTTATTCCTTTATTAACAAATTTGATTTTAAATAGCAACATGATGGTTTTACCTCTTTTTATAAAACGATTTTCCTGAATGTTTACTATAATTTAATATTTTTTTCTTATAATTTGTTTAAAACTGCTCAAAATTAAATTGTTATATTCATACAGAATATAATACAGTATTATTAAAACCTAGATAAAAAATTTAAATAGTAGAATAATTCTACTATTTAAATGTTTTATCTAGGTGATAATACTGTATTATATTCTGTATAAATACAACAATATAATTTTAAGCAGTTTTAAACAAATTATAACAAAAAAAATTAAATTATAGTAAACATTTAGGAAAATCGAATTATTCTATATACTTTAAAATATCATTAAAATAATTAATGCCAAAGGTTATCTTTAAATTTAAAATAATTATAATTATTTCATTGTTTAAATTTATTACAACAGTTTTCTTAAAACAACAATTCATTTTACAATTAAAAACTACAATTAAAGTAGAAGTACAATTATTATAATTGTTAAATTTAATATAATATAATACCATTTAAATATATACTTATTAATAGAAAACGTTCTAATATAGAACACAAAAAATACCATTTCAAATATCAATAATTATCATCTTCATTTTTATCGTAATATTTATCCCAAATCCATAGAAAATTGTCTAAAACAAAAATTATTTTAGGTATAACTGCTAATCTCTTCTTTATCGCTCTTGTATGTCTTTTGAGTTGGTATCAAATAATTAATTCTGAGGAATACCTAAATTTCCTTAAAAAAGAAGAGGAAGGAAAAATCGAAAATATAAAAGATTGTAAGTATAATAATTTTGAGTGATTTTTATGCCATTTTATTGCTTGCAAACTTCATTACTATATATGTTAATGGTTTAGGATTTTCATCATGCTTTTTCATGCTCAGTTATTAGTATTGTAAGGTGTAAAATAAAATGTTTTAACAAGGTTTTCACTACACAGAAAAAACATTTTCCCGAAAATATTTCACCATTAATTGACCACATCATTGTCTTTTAAGTAAAACTTATTTGTGTGTAAATGTTTTGATTTGTTTGAGATATTTTGATATAAAACTGAATTGTAATGTATTTCTTTAAAAGCAGTTTAGGTCATTTCATTAGAAAATATTGATAACAAGTTCCTTAGCTTTGTTATCTTGGCCTGTTGTTTTGTAATGATCATTTGAATCTATTCTATTTTTAGATATATTTTTTAAATTAAAAGTTAATGTAAGGAGAATTTTAGTATTTATACTAAAAATGAATAAATAAAAATTTGTTCAGAAATGCTTTTTTTGGGTCAAATAACATTAAAGATTCGTATAATTATAATTATGAATATATCTTTTAAATCAGTGAAAACTTTTTAACATGTTTTGAAAAGTAAAAAAGGGTGGGGAAGAGATTTAAACTACAGTTTGAAATATACCTGGGAATAAAATAAAAACGTATTTCATTATCGTCCGATTTTCAATAGAAATAAAATTGCAAAAATTGTTAATTTTTGACCCAACAGTGTTAAAATTAATTTGTATTGTATGAATTTTATAAAAATTAGTAAGTACGGGTAAAAAGTATTGGTATAAAAAATAACCATTTCACTGGTTGATGGTTTAGTGGTTCTATATGGTATGTGTGTTAGTGTTGAAAGGTGGTTAAGGAAAGTATATATTAACAACAAACTATAACTATAACTTTTTATACAACTTTTAAGCTTTGGAACCGTTTATGGCAACGATAGAAAACATTGACTATTCAATACTATCCATAATAGGAAATCTATACTTATCTCCGATATATTATTTATACGACGCGTTTCTTTTATTTAAAAATAAGTATTTAGAGGTGGTAAAGGTACCCTTAAAAATGGTGGTTTACAGAACCAAAAGGTATTCCATTACAAGTCTGAAGAGGAGTCTGAAATATAAAAATAACGACAAAAGGAAGTGCGGAAAGTGTAAAAAATCTGTATGCGCAGAACATAATCGAAGTGTTTGCAATGTATGCTTGTCAAAAAATAATGTTATTGTTTTAGAATAAGTAATAAAATTATGAAGAATATCGATTTTTATTCAAGCTAAATCAGCTGGTTTTATTTAGTTTAGTTTGTTAACCTGTTACCTAGGATTTTTTTATCCAATCTAATCAATGAGTTTTATAAATAAATCATGATATTTCACAAATTTCTGGAAAATGTTCTTCTTACTTTTGCACCCTGTATATGCCCAAATTAAAATCGCAATAAATTTTTTGTATTGAAGCATCGTTTTAACGATGCTATAATATTCAGTATATTGAAGGGTCAACCAACAGTTAAAAAAAGTTTTTTTTTAAAACATCAAAATCATTTGAGCGGTTCGCGAGGAAATCATACGAACACTTTATCCGAGGTGTTGACTTTAAAACAGTTTATTATCAAGATAATAACATAAAGAAAAAATCAGAATGTTTAGAAAAGATACGACTACAGTATGATTTTAATTGACTCCCTCTGTAATTGCTGATGTGCAAATTTCAAGTAAAAACTTCTTCTTACTTTTGCACTCTGTATTTGCTAAAATAAAAAACATTTAAAAATACATTTCAAAAATATCATCAAAGTCAGATGTGGGGTGGCCGGTTTTTTATACTGGTAAGAGCAAAATGTTATGGGTCCCCAATAGTAATTTGTGGTAAAAAGTGCTGATAACATTATTTTTGGGTTATATTCTAAAGAAGTATCGCTAGTGGCGCCACCACGTGGCTGTCATCATCGTAACAAAACTAAGGCTGAGAATCGATTACGAATTACTCGAATATATATTTTTTAAATTTAATTAAGGTGCGTCGACTAGTGCGGTCAATGGCCCCTACTCGAATATTAAAACACTTTAAATCAATATTTAAGGGTGGCGCAAAAAATCTATTTTTCAATTAATATTAACGCAAATATTGAATTATACGGGTGTCCCACATTTAGTGCGACAAAATGAAGGTGTATTATCTAAAGACCCCCAGGAACTCCAGAAAATTGTTTAAAAAATTCTTTCTTCATTATTTAATAAGATACAGGGGAGTCATATTTTCTTTATATGGCAACATTGCCTCATAACAAAGTAATAGTTTAATTCTTAATCATCATGACAACAAACAACAATGTTAGAAAATGCCAAATTTAAATGTCAAAATTTGTTACTTTAAGTTATAGGTTATTTATTTTACGTCAGACAGGGACTCCCTGTATTTTTTTCTGATGTAAAATAAATAACCTATAACCTAAAGTAACAAATTTTGACATTTAAATTTGGCATTCTCTAACATTGTTGTTTGTTGTTATGATGATTAAGAATTAAACTATTACTTTGTTATAAGGCAATGTTGCCTTATAAAGAAAATATGACTCCCTTGTATCTTATTAAATAATGAAGAAATAATTTTTTAAACAATTTTCTGGAATTCCTGAGGGTCTTTAGACCTTCATTTTGTCGCACTAATTTTGGGACACCCTGTATATTCCTAGCAAAACTTATACATGAGATACCAATTTTTCTAATGATTAAATAGTTTCGATTATTTGAAATATTTTAATATTCGAATATTTAAAAATTCGATTATTTTAATATTCAAATATTTACTCGATATTTAAATACTCGAATAATTCGAATATTCCAAATAATTTTCAAACGAGTATTCGTGTTTTTCAGAATAAGGTCGGAAAATGTTAAAAATATCGAAAAAACTCATTTGTGGGTGTTTTTCGAGATGAAATACGGAGTTGAGTTTTTACCTGTTTCCCAATAAACAGTGTAAATCCGAATGAAAAAATAAATTGCATGCAGTCCCTGTAAATATAAATTTTACCTATATGATAAAATAAATACACATTTTATCAATGATTTACGTGAAAATCGTAAATATTTCAATTTAGTAAAAGGCATAAAACAAATAAGTCGTCTAAATACAAACAGCATTATGACTTAGGTATTAAAAACGTTGATTGAGAAAATCTTCACTCAACGGTAAAACACCAAAAACAGGTATTATATTACGTATTATATATAATATTATTTTGCCATGAATTCGTAGATATAAAATATATCTATTACTATTTCAAAATGCAGTTGTCGGACTGCAATACAAAAATGTTTGTATATATACAATAACTATAGTTATTATTTTGTGTTAGTAGATTTCTTAAAAATGTCCAAACTTAAATATAAGTTATAATAGGTGAAGTTATCATTAGTTAATTTTGCACCAGCAAATATACGAACCTTTGACAAAACATGAAAATGCATCTTCTAATTAATTTATATTTAAAAACAATAAATTACTATGATTACTTACATAAAACACAGTACGACAAAATTTGCTTTTTCCCTACAATGAAAAAATTTCTATACATTTTGGAAATATATATTTTAAAATTATTTTAATTATGTACAGGGTGTTGCACATTTACGAAATACGGGTGTTTCACGTTCGTGGTCCATTGATAGTTTCTGAGGAGCGGAAAAAGATATCGATTTTAAATTTTTAAAGCGTTTATAATCCAATTAAGCCTATTTTTCTAAAATATTTTAAACAAAATGTCACTTCCGCCTTGACCGGAAGTGACATCAACTTTGTTATTTTAAGTGGAACACCCCATATATTTTTACATTTTTAAATTCTACATAAAAGTTAGAGTAAAATTACTGTTCCCTGTCCTATACCTAGAGTAAATAGTTTTGGAGTTATTAATTTTTTCCGTTAAAATATGACAAATGCGCGTCAATCAAAAATAGCCTATAACTTTCTTGCTATTAGATTTGCAGAAATGGGGGTGGAATTTTTGGAATCTTAAAACATTGTTTAAAAGATTCCATGTCAAATTCTTAACATACCGGGTATAAAAAAGTTATTAACGTTTCAAGTTAGCCCAACTGCCCTGGGGTTTCTCGGGTAATTTGTTGAAAAATGTTGTAGAATTGACATGGAATTTTTAAACAATGTTTTAAGATTTCAAATATTTTACGTCCATATCAAAAACCTAATAGCAAACATCTAGAAAACTATTCACTTTCGACATTTCGGACATGGTATTATACAATTATATAATAGTAGTTTTACTTAGAATTTTTTATTGACGCGAATTTGTCAAATTTCACTTTAGGTATTGGACATGGTTTAGTCATTTTACTCAGAATTTTATGTAGAATTTAAAAATGTAAAAATATATGGGGTATTCTATTTGAAATAACAAAGTTGATGTCACTCCAGTCAAACCGGAAGTTGCATTTTGTTCAAAATATTAAAAAAACAGACTTAATGGATTATAAACGCTTTTAAATTTCATATCTATATTTTTTCCGTTGAATGTGAAACACTCTGTATATCAAGTGGTGTTTTTAGGTTGTGATACCACTATAGTTTCGAAAGCAATGTATAATCGTCAAACTAAAAGATCAAGATTTGTTTCCAACATACAGATAAAAACAAATCTGTTGTTTTACTAAAAAAAAATCAAAAATTAAAACCAAAAATATTTTTATACTTTAAAAAAATAAAATTGTTATTTTCTTTAAGTATAATTTTTGTATTATGTAAAACCATAAAATATTTGAAGAAAAAAATTATAACAAAATAGAGAATTAAAAATCTGTTTAGGTTAAAATAATAAGAATGGCTGTGTAAAAAAATTAAATGACCTGATTTCATGAAACGGTGAGACACGGGTACGTTTTTTTAACCTTTATTTTTTAAATTTGTTAAAATTTTTCATGGGAGGAAATTCGTCTGTGAAATACACCCACAAACGTAGTTACTATATAAGCATATAAAACTTAATAATTCGAAATCGAGTACTTAAACCAAGCAAGTTTTTCAGTTTTTACTTGCAACGCGAAACACAAATAACGTGCGCTCTTAAGCTGTGTAATTGCAACTTTGCGAATTAAATTTGTCGAAAATAACTACTTATTTATTTATAAATAATGTGCAGTTGTTTGTTGTCAAACCTTGTATTTCAATAATGATATCAAACGCTACCAGATGACGCGCGCGTTTTGTTAAATTTTTCCATCAAGGTGCTGTGAATATGCATTTAAACTTCTCGTATATTGACATAGATTTTTCACTTTTTGACATACATAGGTAATATAATAGTCAGATTGTTTCTTTATACATAAAAACCTACCATTAAGTGTTTAAATTTTGAATTATTTTGGAAAATAAATAAATAATCTTTAAACATAAAATATTAAAAATAAAATTCAATTGTAACTCAAAAACCTGTTATAATTTTTTTCTACTTAAAATAACTCCAAAGACAGTGTGGTACACCCTGCATACAACTTTTTTATTTAATGGAATATTAAAAAAATTAATTAGAAAAAGTTTTAAGTTTATTTTATTTTAGGTTTTGATTCAGACTCATCTTCAGATTCAGCAGATGATAGAAGTGAAACAAAGGAAATTTACAATTCTGGAGGGGAAAAAGACTATCTACTATCAAAAAATGAATGAGTAATTTTTTGATACTTTCCATTAACATTAACATATTATGCTATTTATTACCTGTACATTTCATTCCTTATAAGTTTATTATTCATTAATTTTCTTTCTTTTTTATCAACTAAACTTTTCATACGCTTTATTTTACTTATCTTAATGTTTAAAACATTTTTATTTAAGTTTTATAATTTTACCAAAGAACTGCATTTCAAAGATTCCTTTTTATTTGTAAATATATTTGTTATTTTATTAAACACAAATTTATAATAAATGTTAAAAAAATAACTCTTTCTTGGTGGTTTACTAGGTATATCCCTTTTTTTAATAAAACAGTATTTTATAACAATACTAATATTTATTAACAACAAATTAGATATTTCTTATATTTAACATTCATCTATACATCTCCATTAATATTGCAAATTCATATGGTTTTATAACATATAAAAGGCACTTGTATATAAAATAAGTAATGATCAAATATTTTTTTAATAATGCATAAAATATTTTATGTTTTAGATACTATAGTTTATATTGGGCAGTTTTAATTTAAACTCGTCTTAATCAATTATTAACAAATATTTTAGGCTTATTAAAATCAAAACATTCTAAACCATTTAAATTAATATTTTTCCTAAAAAAATAACAAAAACTGAGCATCTTCAAACAATTTAAAATGCTTAAAATTAATTTTGTATTTCTAATTTAATTATTTAAACACCATAATTTCACTACTTAAAATAAATTACTTTAATTTTACCAATTTAGATTAAAACACAATATGGTGTATAATTATTAAAAATCATAAGTTTATTCAATTTAAAATATAGGCAGTGTTAATAAAGTTACTCAATATTTAAAAAGTACTGGTTTTGGGATAAATTTATGCCAAATTAGAGTGTAACAGAATTGTTCTATTATAATCATTTTTATTCTCTTCACCAACATACTGCCAGCACTTTTCAAAATTTTCATGAACAGATTCAACCACATACTCTGTAGATGTAAAAACAATATCCTCAAAATTATTTGTAAATGAACTTTTGCTCATATTCATTGACCCCATAAAAACGTATCCTCCTGTATTGCAGTAATCTTTTAACATGTATTTATAGTGCATCATACTATAGGACTGGCTAACTTCCTTATGTCTGGCAACATAGAATCTTATATTTACACCTTCATTAATCATTTTTCTATATAAATGTGATGTATTGTAAGCATGCTCAAAATTCAGCAAAATTCGCACTTTAATGCCGCGTTTACTAGCATCTATTAAAGCGTTGGTAATGCCTTCACAGGTTAAAATCATAACAGCTATATCGATAGACTTTATGGCAGTGTTGATAAAATAAACAATCGGCTCTATCAAAACACTCATTCCATCTTTAATGTTGGCTTTTATTCTTGTTAAGTGAGGTGGCCAACCACTCATCCCCTTTCTGGGCGAATACAACACGACACAGTTGTGCCTTTTGTGAAACAACACTTCTCTTTCATAGTTTATTTTATCTTCTTTATAGCTTTTGTACAATTTCCTCCATGTGTATATCGGCACCACCAACAACGCGGCCGACGATAGGACCCATAATTTATTTTTAAACAAATCCCTAATCATTGCCACATTCACAAAACAATATCACTGATTTATTGGGCATAAACAAAAATATTGAACCGATTTCAAGGTTATTTGTGTAAACTAACCTTCAAATGTCGCATTTTGACGGCGGTAGTTCAAATTATCCAAGTTGTTGCCGGATTGTGGACGCACCGTGCTCAAGTTTTGAATTGGTGGATTTGCAGATATACAGTGGCGAGATTAAATTGTATATTGAAATATAAATGTATTATACTACTTATGTAAATATATATTTTAAAACCTATTTGTTTTTCATAAAATACAAAACTTTGACTGTCAAAGGTTGACAATAGCGCATACAACTTTGTTTACTTTCTAATAGAGGGCAGCACGTTAAGTAAATAATTTTTGAAATCAAGTGGCTTGATTTTTAAAAATATTTAATTTAAGAATCTCACAGAACAGAACTAGGTATTTGTCATAAAAACTCTTAAAACTTTTCTTAAAAATGGAAACTGATCCTGATTCTGAAAGTAAGACTCGAAATTGCCCAGTAGGGCTGTTATTAAACGATGCTTCTCAAAATCCACTCACTCCAAATACGGAGATGAACGAATCCTTGCAAATTAGACCCAAAACGAGAGAAATAGCCAGCGCACATTCTTTGGTAGTTAAGCAAACTGTAAAAATGACACAAAACAAGGTAAAGTATGATATTAATAAAACGAACGTATAAATATTACATATATGTATACTTTAAAATATTAAATATTAGATTTTTGTCCACCATTTCTATTTTACCAAAACTGGGCTGTCAAATCTTTTTTTTTTCAAAGCCTTCTTATTTTTACTGTACATTTTAAGTAGGTATTGTGACTTGCGTCTAGAGGCACCGAATTATCTTGGCTCCCTGGCTCCTAGACATGCGCGTTTTATAGAAATGTACTCAAACTCAACAACACAACCCAACCGACCCCGCCCCATTGGGCCCCCCCCGCCCCATTGAGCAAAAAACCCAACTAAAATGGGCAAATTTATGTTACGATAAAAATAAAACACTTTTTAATTACATAAATTTAGTTGGGTTTTTTGCACAATGGGGCGGGGGGGCCCAATGGGGCGGGGTCGGTTGGGTTGTGTTGTTGAGTTTGAGTACATTTCTATAAAACGCGCATGTCTAGGAGCCAGGGAGCCAAGATAATTCGGTGCCTCTAGACGCTAGTGGTATTGTGGACTCTTAATATATATATGGGTCATTTCATCAAATACATTTTGTCTGACTCCCACAATTTTTTTTTAAATTTTGTTATACCCTACATTAAAATAATAATGTAAATAATGTTTTATATAAATAGGTACAACCAGTACTGTTTTATAAAAATACAAACAGTACCTATAGGTATACTGTTTTTTTTCTAAAAAAATTTGGCTTTACAAGTAACAAAAAACACTAAAAAATTCAATTAAAGTAAAAAAGATGATTTGTTCTACCCTATTACGGAATATATTCATATATGACCGTTTTAACATTACTTTTTATGTGGAATTACATATATTCCTTAAAAATCATTACAAAAGTACCTACCTAAAATTAAGAGCTCAAATCTTCAGTGACCCCCGGATTTTTTTTTTAAATTTTGGAGTTATTCTCCACATCAAAATATATTTATATTATAAAATTTTGATGAAACTACCCACACACTTTATTAGGCGGTAGAAAATGTAAGACTCCAAGAAATTGAAGCGAAAAATAAGGCAACATTGAAACAACTTCAAGAAATCAGTAGGCAATTAAGCAAAACAAAATATGAAAATATGGACCTGGAAAAACAACTTCAAAATGATAAGGATGATATCAAAACTTTTCCTGCCAGAACTGAACATACAAATGAGATGGTTTCTTACCTTAAAAATTATGTAAATTCATGCAAGAAAAATATTAGAACTGTAGATTTTACGGTACAATATGAAAAATACACCAAAGTATATGAAGAATTAAAATGTGTAATTAATAATAATGAGAAAAACCAAAAATCCCTTGAGGATCAAATAATTAAAATCAAAACTAAATTAATTGAACAGGAAAGTCAAAAATCGATGAAAATTGCTCAGTTAAAGGATAAAGTTTTGGTTTTAAAAAGTTCAAATATTGAAAAACAAGAGAACATAAGTAAAATTCAAAGTTTGCTTGAAGATGAATCTGATAATTTTAAAAAACTTGATGACATTAAAACTGGTTTAGAAGAAAAACTTAATGAATTATTGAACTCTAATAAACAAGAAAATTATAATAAATTAATTAATCAGTATTTTCAAATAAAATTAGAAAACGGTGCTTTAAAAGAAAAATATTACAATGAAGTTGATTTAAACAAAAATAGGTATGTAAATAAATTTAGGTGAGGTTTTCAATAATGTAGGTTTATTGTATAGGATTAATAATATGGAAATTGAATTAAATTCATTCATTGGGAAAAGCCGTATTTTCAGTAAAAATATTGAAATGCAGGAAAATAAATTATCCGAATTTGTTAAACAATCAGATAACTTGGAAAACACAGTAAAAACAACAAAACAAATTTTACAAAATAAAAAAGTTGCGTATGACAATAATAAATTAGATTTAATTGAAAAATTGCAAGAAACAGAAAATAAGTTGCAGGAAAAGAAAAACGAATTGTTAAAAATGAAAAATAAAAGAAAGGAACATAAAAATGTGAGTTGATTTTGTTCTTAAATTTCCTTCTTTAAAATTTGTTTAGGATTTAGAACTTTTGAAGAAAGAAAATTTTGCGGATCTTCAAGAAATATGCACTTTAAAATCAGTTTTTCTTGAACTTAAGGAGTCCGAAAGGGAGCCAGAGAAAAATTTGACTCTTTTAGATATAAGTTCAAGAAAATTGAGCAAAAAATTAATGGAAATAGACGCTAATTGTAAGGAACTGGAAAATTTTATCAAAAACAAATCTAAACAAACATTGTTGGAAAATGAACAACATCACAAGGAAATGGAAATATTAATGAAAAAATTAACTGATCATGAAATTTCTCACAAAGCCAAAATGGAAGAGTTAAGAAAAGACCATGAATACGCATTGGCGTCTTTGACTTATCTAGAAGAAAAACAAAGGTCGTTAAAAGAAAAACTGGACCAAATTTCAAAAGAAAAAACTCAAGTGTGCAATGAGCTACTCAAAAGCGAAGGCGTCATTGAAACAAAAATGGAACGATTGCGTTATTATAACACTTACTTGAATAAAATGAGCGGAGTTTTTACGAAGCCAGACGAAAATTTTGCCGTAACGAGTATATTGAAAAGTCCTGGAAAACTGGCAGGACCTTCACCCAAAAAAGTGAAATTTCATGGACTGGAATCTTCAGATGGGTCCAGTCAAGACGTTAAAGCTGTACAACAGGTAAGCAATAAATTAGAGAAATTATTCAATATTTAAAAACAAATTAATTTGTTAATTTAAAAAACGTATTTTTGTTAATGTTTCTACATAACACAAATTAGGCGCCATTTAAGATTTTGTGCCAAAAATTATAATTGCTAGTTTTAAAATAAAAATATTTGTTTTTAGAATAAACCTTCTTTTGATGATTGGTTAAAAATGTTACAAGAAAACAAAAACGAATAATTTAGTAAAGGTTAAGTATTTAAATAATTCTATTTACTATTGTCATTAAAATGTTTCAAAGTTGTGTCCTAGAATTTCTAAAATTTAATTTGTTACATATAAAATACAATATTTAGCATAAAATCATCTTTTATTTTGGGGCTATTCTTTTTATTTTATATACCCTTCCCCTTAGCAATCTGGCACTTACCCCCCCTAAAATATTATGTCTCATTTTGTTTGTACCCCTTCTAATACATTACATTATAATTACCATTTTGGATTTAAAAATATAAACATCCACTATGTTAACATAGTGAAGAAAGTGCTACCTGTTTAATTCATAAAATAAAATAAAAAGGTTTTTATTCTTAAATAAGAGAGTTCTTTTTATTTAACAGATCCAAAAGTAAATTAAAATACATACCTAAATTATAAGCGTAACACATAATAATAAACAAAAAATATATCTATCTTTGAGGAGCAGGTTTTGGTTTGGGCATTTTACTCAACAGTCCTTGTATTTCCTTCTTCTCATCGTAAGTTTTCCACAATTCAAACAAGTTGATAATATACCTGGCAATTTCCTGTATCTTCTCGATATCGACATTCAGTTCTGCAAACCAGGCTTTGTGGTCCTTCTGCAGGATAACACAGGCGATTTGAAGGCACCCAATTGCGATCTGGTATGGTGGGTATAATAAGGAAACGTCAGTTCTCAAAGAATCATTAACAATTCTCCAAGAGAGGGTTAAAAGTTGTTCTTCATGTCCAATATCTTGAACTAATTGCAAAAGAGGTCTGTATGGTTGATATACAATAAGGCAACAGTCCAAATTCTCAAGTAAATAGAACTCACACTCCAAAATGTGATTTGTTCTGTAAGGAAACTCTTGTGTGTAAGCATAGCTAAATTTATTCTTAACTAAAAGTAAACGAAGATAAAAAAAACTGTTAAAACACAAACATAATATACTTACTGACTGTTTGGCATGTAGTTATCAATCTAGAATTTGAAATTACTCCAAACTCCTCTACTTTAGAAGCCAAAAATATACATGTAGGTGCTAATAGAAGGGGATCTATACATTTTAAGGAGTTTCTAGCGTAAAACCTTTTAAAGTAAACTGTAGCAGTGGCTATAACTTGTTGCCTTAGCTTTAATTGTTCTCCCAAACTTTGAATAACTACAAAAATATTACTTAATAAAAATGAAAAATGGTGGATATTTATTGTATATTTTCTTACCACTGGCAAAAAATATAAATATCTTCTGGTATTCTTCCTCAGTAAGTACTGCTAAATCAAGCTGCCTTTCTCTAATAAGGTCTTGTTTGTCCAATAACCACTGTTGGCTAAAAAAAGATAAATGAAGCATTAAATATATAATGATTATAAAATACTTACTGGTGAGAACTTTGCCAAAAATTCCCAGCCATTTTAAGCCAATTCTTGTTAAAATTTTACACTTATGTTTCGTGATTTAACACATAAACAAGAAAACAGCAAAACCTGCCGGATATGTGCACCTAGGATTGTGCATTTAAACTACTTTTCGCCCTGCACCGACGTTGTCAAATTTCAATGGTATACTGGAACTATTGTTATAATAAAAACGATTCGGGGTTTTTATGATTTAATAGATATCAGGCAGTTGATTGCTTGTTATATTTGTATTAAATTTAAATGATAATTATAAATAATTAGAAATAAATTATTCGACTTTAACCTCATTTATACTGTCAAAATTCTATAGTTTATACAGTTTTATGGGTGTAAACAGCTTGTATGCAGCCTAAAACTTAACTTAAACGTTTTTATATACTAATTTAATTAAAATAGTGCTACAAAAGTGAAAACATCAAGATGTCCACTCAGGATATTTACAAGAAACAGAAAACCTGCCTGCAAATAGCAACAAATGTAACTGAACAAAAACACCACGTATCCAGGGCAAAAAGGGGACAAATCTTGGGGCACCTGAGAGGTTTTAGAGGATGCACAGTGTGGCTGACAGGTTTATCGGGGGCTGGAAAGACATCTATAGCATTTGAGTTGGAGGCTTATTTAGTGTCCCACGGAATACCAGCATATGGTTTGGATGGGGACAATATGAGAACTGGGTTGAATAAAGATTTGGGTTTTTCAAAGGAGGGCAGGGAGGAGAATATAAGGAGAGTTGCAGAGGTAGCTAAATTGTTTGCCGATGCTGGGCAAGTTTGTTTATGTAGTTTTGTGTCACCCTTTGCTGAAGATAGAGATGTGGCAAGAAGGATACATCGGGATAGTGATTTGCCGTTTTTCGAGGTATTTATTGATACACCTTTGCATGTTTGTGAAGAACGAGATACTAAAGGGTTGTACCAGAAAGCTAGGCAAGGTGTAATTAAAGGTTTTACTGGTATTGATCAACCCTACGAAATTCCTGAAAATCCTCAGTTGGTTGTAAAAACAGTAAAAGCTACAATAGAGGAGTCTACAATGCAAGTTGTAGAAATGTTGCAAGAAAATGGTATTATACCTTTTTTAGAGAATCGTAATAAGGATGAGGATTATGAATTATTTGTGTCTGAGCATATGTTGGCCAGTGCCATAGAGGAGGCAGCTTCTTTACCTGGCTTAAATATAAATACTTTGGATTTACAATGGCTACAGGTAAATATAATACATTTTAATGATTTTAAAAAATAAAATGTCAATATATTTGTTTATAAAATATCTGAGTAATACTAATTACTTTTGCAATTAACTAGAGTTATTTTAATTACCATAACAGGCTACTTATCAAATTTAATATCCTTGTCTAATGAATTTAAGGTCATACATAAAACAAAATAATTATTGCAATGAGTTCATAACTTAATCTAACATTAAATTTTCAATAAATAATTGTAATATTAAAAATCCACACATGTGCACATTGTTGTAATAATATTATTATTTTATAATAATGCAGGGTTCGCCTGATTTAAATCACGGTTTAAATCAAGTGATTTTTTTATTTTAAATTATAATATACATATATATATATTTGTTTATAAAATATCTGAGTAATACTAATTACTTCTGCAATTAACTAGAATTATTTTAATTACCATAACAGGCAACACACGTGTGCACATTGTTGTAATAATATTATTATTTTATAATAATGCAGGGTTTGCCTGATTTAAATCATGGTTTAAATCAAGTGATTTTTTTATTTTAATCAATGATTTTTAATCAGTTTAAAAAAAAGTTTCTAAAATCTAAAAAACACTTAAAAGATCTAAAACAATAATATTTTGACAATATTTAAATAAATTTATATGCATAGAAAAACTGCTTATTTTGTTACTTAAATAAAATAATAAAGGAACATCGAGAGGAATACAGGGTGTCTCAAAAGTCAAGGACAGCAGAAAAGGGGTAAATAGAGAATGGGATTCTAAGTCGAATGGAATTTGCCGTTTTTCGATCAGGTGCGCGATCCTCGACATCACTCGCACCGTACGTATACGACATGAAGTCGAGCGATTCATTTGCGAATGGTTTTAAAAAATTGTATCCTCGACAAATCTTCGCGATTGAAAACGTACACGACAAAATTAAACGAGTGGTTCATCCGGCAACACCGCATGTGTTAGTTTATTTACGTTTAATGTAGTGGTAGTTACCAGCTTTGACAATGTCAAAGCTAGTATCTGAATGTCAAATTGACATTCTCTTGGACATTGTGTTTGTGTTTATATTGTTTGACATAGAAATATAATTTATACAAGTGCAAAGCCCGTCTTCAACTGTGCTATTTGTATGTAACATGATGGACATTAAAAAAAAATATACCATTGAGAAGCAAAAGAAAACTTTAATTAAATTAATTTAAAAAAATGAAGCATTGTAAAGTGGAAAATTTTCAAATAATCTTACGTACAAGGACGCCCAGAGGGAATAGGAGAAAATTGTTTGTACATCTAAATCTTTGGCATGATGAACATGAGATAAGTCATTTTCCAAAAGATTTATAAGAAACATTGCCAATCATTTTGAGAGACGAAAAAGTCTAACAAAAAGTTTATCGGATAAATAGCATAAACAAAAAATAATATTTATGTCATAGAAAACCATCGAAAAAGTATGCGACATTTAAAAACGAATGCCTAATTCCGCTCGCAGTAAACCACTCGCAATTGGTGCGCATACGTACCCATTGTGAGCGGTCAAGAATACGAAATACACGTCTCGAATGCAATGTCGTATACGTTAATAAAAGTCGAGCGCTCGAGGATAGCACCATAATGGTGCTATCCTCGAGCGCTCGTTATTAATAAAATAAAGTAGCCAATCACAGGCGTGTTTTAGCAGACTGATTAGAGGTGGGAGGACTATAATGTGCAGCGTAATCTTAGAAATTCTGTATAAAATCGTTGTGTATAATTACCTTAATTATATGGTTGACATTGTCACTGTCACTGTCAGTGTTTTAGATTTTAGGTTAGTTTTACCCAGAGAACCAAGGTTTTACTTTACTTTTACTCATTAACATGAATGTTTTTTATTGTTATGTTATATGTTAGCTACTTTAAATTTGTCGCTGACGAGGACGTCGTAGGCAGGTTGAGTTTAATTGTTAAAGCAGCCTTCCATAGAAATAATACTAGTATTATTTCTATGCAGCCTTCAGATGAAGTGTGTTCTAAAATAACGCGCACTGGACGTGCAGGTGTTGGGGTATCTAAAACAAAAATCGTGCAAGCCATTCACTGTAATACATCTGAATTTTAGTACTTCAGATGCTGGATGAACTTGATGCTAAGCAAGAAGGTAAAATATGATTGTTCAATGAATTTCAAAAGTAGAATTTCAACAGAGAATCTTTAGGCAGCAATTCATAATAGAAAACAAAGTAAGGAAAAAAAAATTTCTTTTATTTCCGTGATTTTTTTCAATTAATTTTTGTATACATATGGGGCATTCCACGTTACTCGGTAATTTTTGTCCCGCCCGTCACAATTAAAAATTGTGAGTAAAAACCACAAGTTATAAAATTAATATTTTATAATATTATTTTTATTGTGCTTATAACTTATTAAAAGCATAATAAAACAATATTTTTAAATAAATTTTATAACCTGTAGTTTTTACTCACAATTTTTAATTGTGACGGGCGGGACAAAAATCCCCGAGTAACGTGGAATGACCCATATTTTACTTTTATTTATATCGATTATTTCTTAAATAAACTTTTTTTTCAAATAATTTTTGTGTTTAAATATTTTACTTTTATTTATATCGATTATTTCTAAAATAAATTTTTTTATAAATATTTTTTATTAAGACGTGTACTAAATTTTCTTGTATTTTTAGCATTTAAATAATAATGACTAATATTTCTTCAATATTTAGTTCATTTAGCAAAAATATTCATTCAATATTTTTAATAAATTTTTGTGTTATGTGGGTATGGCTCTCTGGGTAACTAAAGGCATTCTTTTTTTTTAGGGAAACTTGGTGGCCCTAAGAAGGGCCGTTTTTTAAATATTCTTCGGTCCTTTATCTCATGAGATGCTCAAAGGTTCCTCCATTTCTCTGCAAGCACATTTCACAACGTTTAATGATATTCGTTCTGACGTTCTCCAGCATTTCTGGTGTTATGTCTGCTTGCGATAATCGAATCCGCTCCAGAGTGTCAAGCTGATCCTCGGGCACGGTTTTGTAAACGACGTCCTTCATGTATCCCCACAAGAAAAAATCCAGGTGTTAAGTCCGGTGATCTTGGGGGCCAACGAAACGGGCCGTTTCTCCCAAACCAGCGTCGTGGGTACTCAGCATTTAGGTGATCCCGGACACGACCGAAGTAATGAGCCGGTGCACCATCATGCTGGAAGTACTGAGGACGCTCTCCAACTTCTTCGAGCAACCCTGGAAGAACCTCTTGCAAAAATGCCAAGTACGAGTTTCCCTAATAAATAATCAAAAAATTGTATGATCAACTCATGAAAATATAAATTGATCATTTTTTTAACTTACTTTTAGTGTTTCTGGTAATTGATATAAAATAACGGTATCTCCGATAATACCGCCCCACATATTAATTTTCCACCTGTGCTGGAAACTTTGCACTCTTTCAAAATGTGGGTTTTCAATCGCATACTGATGCACATTATGGGGATTAAAACACCCCTCACGAGTGAAGGGTGATTCTTCAGTCCACAATACATGCCTCAGAAAGTTAGGGTCTTCACGGTGCATATTGAGAATTTGATTGCAAAACTGTCTTCTCATCTCATAATCTCCAAGTTCCAGATGTTGTACCTTGGTAGCGTGGTAAGGATGTAGTGCGTTGTCCTTAGTTATGCGGTTAACTGTGCTGCGGGAGATCTCCAATCCACGTTCAAGTTGGCGAGTGCTAGTTCCAGGATCAGCTGCAATGGCCTCAAGAACGCGTTCTTCATTATGAAGGCTGCGAGCTGTTCGTGGTCGGCCAACGCGTTCAGCAGCACCCGGTAAAACGTTGCCATTCATATTAAAATTCTGAACCGCTCGGAGAATTGAAGCATGATTCGGAAACCGAACACGCACACCTTCAAATTGTATTCAATACTGGCGTGCAGCTTCCGCAGCATTGTGAGCATATTCGTAATAAATACGGACCATGTCTGCACGTTCGGCAACAGTATAAGCGCGAGGCATTTCAAAAAGTTGTTAAAGTTTTTTTAACAAAAATGACAGGGATAAAAATATCTCTAATTAAATAATAATGTAAAAATTAATTATTAATAAAGTAATTATTTTTACTTAATAAAAAGTAATAGTAAAGTAAAGTATATCACCATCAACCTTGTATTTACTTATTTAATAATTCGCAAGTTAAAAAAAATAACAAAAAGATAGGTAGGTACCTATTTGTCCCACACAAAAAAATAAACATTTCTACTGAACCTAAAAAACCAAAACACTGACAGTGACAGTAAATAAATTAATTTAAGGTCATTTCACATATGACATGTTCATAGCTATGGAATTTTTACAAGTTTGTGTTGTCCCACCTCTAATCAGTCTGCTAAAACACGCCTGTGATTGGCTACTTTATTTTATTAATAACTAATTAATGGTGCAAATTCCATTCGACTTAGAATCCCATTCTCTATTTACCCCTTTTCTGCTGTCCTTGACTTTTGAGACACCCTGTATACAAGAAAATATATGACAGTTGCAGACAGTGGTTTATTTGTTTATAAAGTAGTGCCAATATAATATTATTATAATCTAGTTATTTTTAGTATTTTTTTAATAGTACACTTTATAAAAAAAAGCTTATAATTAAAAAAAATTAAAAAATCTAAAAAATATTTTTTCTTGGTTTTTTTTTTTTTAATAAAAATCTGTTTTTTGATTTTTTTTAATCATTATATTTTCGAACCCTGTTATAATGTATAGGACAAGTCATAGTGTGGATAAAACATATTTATAAGCATTTATAATTTATTTTGTAAAACAGGAAAAAATGCGGTCAAATTTCATAAACAACTTACTAAATGATTTATCTGTGTTATCAATACACGTGTTAATTAAAGATCAACAATACATGTACATTTCACTGTTATTTTTATTTATATAATTTATAAAAAACTATTTTTTGTGTAATTTCATAATTTTTTCTTGTTTTACCAAATAAATTATTTTTGAAATTCCTAAAATTTGGCTTAAATCTTGAAAACTTCTAAAATTGCCATCAATCCCCTAAAACTCCTAAAAAATTTCTTTTTTTAAAAAGTAATTTAAAATATATATATTTTTAGGTTCTAGTTTATTAAATTCTTCATAAAATTTTATATCACAAACTACATTTTTATTAAAAAACAACAAAATATACCTAAAAAACAATATCCATGTATACATGGAGCTACTTTTATAGTAGCTCCTAGACTTCTACAAAATTGTCATTTTTAGCAAAAATATACCATATATATATAAATATATATATCAAACAAAAGGATTTTTAATTTTCTTTTAAATAATAGCTAAAATAGTAAAAAAAATCTAATCTGCTGTATTATGCAAACTTTATATTTCTTCTATTATGAGACTTTTAAGTAAAAAGATCCACATTACAATTATTGTTAATTAACTAAACGGTTAACATTTTTTTTTCAAGATATAAATATAACATCATTTGACTTTGGACTAGTTTTTTAGCCATTTCTATCGACGCGTTTTTTTTAAATAAAATGAAAAGTGGTGAAATTTCTACTTGTATACATACAAAAGTAGTAATTTTACCTCACTTTAAATTTTATTAAAAAAAATCGTCTTGCGATTTGCCTAAAAAAGAATTATTTATTTTTTTCTTATTTTTACACTGTAGAGTTGTTTTTATTTAATTACATAAATTCATTTGCATGCTTTATTTCTCCTAAAATTCTTCAAAAAACCTCCTAAATTCCTAAATAAAATTTGTAATTTAGCCCTGTAATAAATTTAGTGATAGTTTTATCACGCCCACGTCCGATGTAGCTATATAAAACATTAAAGCCCCGTCCGCAATTTTAAAGCACATTAATTACAAAAATATAAAAATTTGAAACAACAAATTTGTTTTTATTAAAAAAAAAATTTCAAGGTCATGCACTTTTCAGACTTGTCGAAGCCTACCCGTGTGGCAACGTCGCACTTTTAAAGCAAAATTTGTAAGGCAGGTTTCACATTTTTAATGAAATGAGCCACATAGTTTAAATTAAGTCATAACTTATCACTAAATAACTAGTTATAACCAAATAAAACTATAAAATGTTACATTTTACCTTTTACAAACAAAACTAAAAAACAAAAAAGCAGTTTTTATTAAAATTTCCTTTAATAAGAATTTAAATTTATTAAAGCATCGATCTTTTATGTTACTTGGAATATTTTTATACCAGATACATTTTTATACCAGCAGAAAATGCTGATTTTTCAAATAATTTTAATTTATTTTTTCTACTCCCACCTTTAAAACGCCCTTTATCATACATGTTTCCGTGACACTAATTAAGTGACCTTTTAAATACACATTGACAAGTTGTGGCTTTACGGCGCTTTAGTCACGGGCTGAAGTTAGCAACAGGTTTTTAGTCACGGGCTGAAGTTAGTTTTAAGTTCGTTGACAGTTGTCAAATGTCATACAATCGTTAAAATAAAGTGCCTTTCTTTTAAAATAATACTAAATGTGAAAATTATTTTATTATCTCAATACAAAAATACAAAAATATTAAATAGTTTTTCAACGCCAATATTTGAAAAGTTTATATGAACATTGTACTGACCTTTTAATTTCGCCGGCAGTAAACTTTCACTGTGAAAAACTGTCAATTTTCAAGATATATTTCGATTTATAAACCTTTATAATTGTGTTTATAAAATGTAAAAATGTGACATTTGACAGTTTCCCCTGTTGTTTCATAGATGGCGCTCTATACAAATTTTTGATTTAAATCATTTTAAGATAATAATAAGTATTTGTCGTAGAAAAAGTATAGTATGCACCTCGTTTATAAACTTTTCTATACACTCATTAACTTAAGCACTCGCTCGCAAGCTCGCTCGTGCCTAAATTAAATTCGTGTATAAAATGGCGTTTATCAAACTTGATACATAATATACTATTTTAAAATACAGAGAATTAATATTATAGCTAATGCATTTCTGGTGCTGTAATTATGATTAGTTGCCATTTATTTAAAAAGTTTTTTCGTAATATATTGTAATAAAATAGTACAAGTAAATGGTAATAATTTCTCCATGTATGTATTACAAAAAGAAAGTTAATTGTTTAAACTTATATTTATTAACACTTTTGAAAGATTTTAAGTGAGGGATGGGCGCACCCCCTTAAAGGCTTCATGCGCGAGGACGAGCTCCTCCAAGCGCTGCACTTCAACTGTTTGCTAAAAGATGGCGACACCAGTAGTCACAGCGTGCCTATCGTGCTTCCGGTCTCCACTTCCGACAAAGACCGTTTGTGTGACAGCTCGTCCATAGCACTCTACTACAACAACGAATGCTACGCGATAATGAGAAAACCGGAGTTCTATTGGCACAGGAAGGAGGAAAGGGTGGCCAGGCAATTCGGCACTACCAATAAGGACCATCCTTATGTCAGAATGGTGTTTCAGAGCGGGGATTGGCTGGTCGGGGGTGAACTAGAGGTTTTAAAGAGGGTCAGGTGGAATGATGGTTTAGATGAATACAGGTAGGTAGTATATTCTTGTTTGGTGAATATTTTTAAGCTCATTGTATTTTATTTAAGGTTGACCCCTAAGGAGCTTAGGAGGAGGTTTAAGCAAATGGAAGCTGATGCAGTTTTTGCTTTTCAGTTAAGAAATCCCATTCATAATGGACATGCTTTATTAATGACTGATACGAGGAAACAGTTGCAAGAAAGAGGTTATAAGAAACCAGTTTTGCTGCTACATCCTCTTGGTATGTTTTTCTTTATATATTTTGCTGTTTGACATTTCTTTAAAAATTTGACACTAACATTTATTCTGATTTAAATGACAGTTCTATCTGAATTAAATTGAAAGTTATATCTACCTTAATTTAACATAAAGTGGTGTTGAAAGTTTTTTGAAGGGAACATTTTTTTGACCCAGTCCCGGAGATCGTCCGAGCCCGTCCAACATAGCGCAGAAGGGGAAACATTTGACCCAACTTTTTTTTAATTAAATAAATTTTAAACAGTTTATGTAGGTATTTAAGTTTAGCTCTTAATTTAAAATTTTATTAAGTAAATCTTATAAATTGTTACAAATAGTAAAAGTTTTAAGGTTAGAACATCTACCTGATGCATACAAACCCCCAAAGGCTGATGGATGCAAAATTATCTATTTGACAGATGTAGTATTAGTAGTATAGGGTGCACTATGTCTATACTTCTATAGGTATCTTTTTTATTTGCTGAGCTACAAATTTGGTTGTATTAGACAAAAGTTGCGTAATTACAAATCTATAATAATGGAATTAAAAAATTGTGAAAAACATCAACGGTTTTTAAATAGGTTGGAAAAAACTGAAACTGTAAAAACCAAGAATCGTTACAACTTCGTTATTCTTGAGAATTTCGATAAAAAACGTTTCCCATGTCAACATATACACTAGGGTGTTTCATTTGAAACAAAGTTTTTGTTTTCGTTGCTGAAACCATGAAATATTGTTTTGTACACTGAAAAAAAAATCCTGAAAATTTAAGCCCTTAACTTTAACTCTAAATACTTCCTTTGTATTTTGAATTTTCCCCATTTAAAATACATGTATTTCAAGTTCAGTTTTTTTTTAAATTTCTAAAGCTTAGCCGGGTTTCAAGCTACCGCGTTATAAACATTGGTAGTAGGTATTTATAGTGCAAGACTCTGTGACCACTTTATTATAACTTGACTCATATTAATTGTATTAGGTCTGTAAGTCATTTTTTTGACATTTTTCGCATATCTTTGAAAAAATTGAGAGAATGGCTCATCTATCTAAAAAAATGTAAAAACAAAAGTTGTAGGAAATTAAGTTTTCTACAAAAATGATTCCAATATTTATTTTGCTAAAATACATAGTTTCAAAGATATGAGCAGTTAAATATTTGAAAATCAGAAATTTTGTTTTTTATTGAGCTTATATCATCTTAAATTTAATTTTATGCCTGTAAAATAATTTTTATACAATATAGAAAAAAAATATTTTACAGGCATAAAATTAATATTAGGATAATATAAGCTAGATAAAAATAAATTTTTCGATTTTCAAATATTTAGCTGCTTATACAAAAATGTTAAGACAAAAGTTGTAGGAAATTAAATTTTCTACAACAATTATTTCAATGAGTATTTCGCTAAAATGCATAAGTCGTTTTTTCGCGTAAATACGTAAATGCGTAAGGTCAAATTTGGACACCCTTTATTTCATGGTACCATGAAATAAAGGGTGTCCAAATTTGACCTTCCGATTTAAATTGACCGCCATATCTAGTAATCTTCATTGACAGTTTTTCTATAGTAACATATCTCAAGTAAAAACTTTGCGGTTAGTAGTTTCTTGGTCAACATGGAGCAACTGTCCATAGAAGAACGAGTTTTTATTCTAAAAACTTATTACAAAAATGGAGAAAGTTTTGCTGAAACGCATTTCGGAAGAAATTTAGCACCTTCTGTTAAAGTTATTGAGAATTTGATTAAGAAATTTCAACAGACTGTAGAAGTTAACAGGCGTAGTGGTTACATTCGAGGTATCCGATCAGAAGAAAACATTGTTTTCTTCTGATCGGACACCTCGAATGTAACCACTACGATTTTAGCCAAACTTTCTCCATTTTGGTAATAAGTTTTTAGAATAAAAACTCGTTCTTCTATGGATAGCTGCTCCATGTTGACCAAAAAACTACTAACCGCAAAGTTTTTACTTAAGATAAGTCACTATAGAAAAACTGTCAATGAAGATTACTAGATATGGCGGTCAATTTAAATCGGAAGGTCAAATTTGGACACCCTTTACTATGGTTATTAAACTTAACCTTGGTTAATAGTTAAGGCATTTTTGCGTTTAGAGTGCGTTCAAAAATCCTATAACTATGACGTCACAAATACCAGACCATAAAACTTTATCGCTGAGCTAGTTATTCAACGTGGTTAATAGTCTTTCTCTTTTTAATATATATTTTTCTGTTTCGATCTGTCAAAAAGTTGTTTACATTTGAAATTTAAAATATTTTAAGTAGGTACAATTGCTCTTAAACCGAATTTAAACTTTGTATTAAAATGGTAAACGGGGTGTTGTCAGTAAAAATAAATGATAGGGTGCTCCATATTGTGGACTCTCCACAAGTGGAGGAATTATATTGTAGCGAGTACCGCCCTGGATATCGGAGTGATGACTCATCGCCGATTAGTCATTGCCGGTGAGTCATCGCCGGTGACTCAGCGCTCGAATAATCGAGAGTGTGGAGCTCGCTGGAATGTTCCAGAATACTTGGGCGCTGAATATATAAGAAACGGAGCAACACAGAGCAGTTAGTTGAGCTTTGACACTCGCGAAGAAATAAATAAATATAAGTGCAAATAAATAAACTAGTAGTGATATAAATAATTAGTAGTTAAGTGTTTAGTTAGTTTTATAGTGTTTTAAGTGTATTTAAGTTATTAAATAAATAGTTTAGTTCGTTAATAAACCAGTGCGTGTTTTAATTCACACTACGAACAGTAAAAACGTTACATTGGTGTCAGAAGTGGGATAGACCGGAAGCAGATAATAATCCCCAGAAACAGGATACCAGAAGTGCTGCAGGAAATCCATGATGGAACTACAGGAGGACATCTTGGGGTGACCAGGACGCTCGGAAGACTTAGGGAACGGTTTTATTGGGTCAACAGCCAACGAGATGTGAAGGAATGGTGCAAGAAGTGCGCCGTTTGCGCGGCAAGCAATGGACCCCAGAAGCGCCCGAAAGCCCCAATGCGACAGTACAATGTGGGCAGCCCATTTGAGAGAATTGCAATCGACGTGGCGGGTCCATTTCCGGAAACAGAATCTGGAAATAAATACATCATCGTTGTAATGGACTACTTCAGCAAGTGGGCGGAAGCGTACGCCTTGCCAAACCAGGAAGCTGCCACAGTGGCCGATGCCCTTATTAAGGAGTGGATTTGTCGTTTTGGTGTGCCAATGGAGATGCATTCAGACCAAGGCAGGAACTTTGAATCTATATTGTTCCAGAATGTCTGTAAGATTCTTAACATTCGGAAGACGAGGACGACTGCATTACATCCGCAGTCCGATGGAATGGTAGAACGAATGAATCGAACGATAAACCGGTACCTGTCCAAGGTAGTCTCTGATCACCAAAGAGACTGGGACCGCTTTCTTCATCTGTTCCTGTTGGCGTACCGTTCTTCTATCCACGATACAACCGGCCAGACACCCGCTAGCATTGTTATGGGACGTGAACTTCGTCTACCTTGTGACCTGAGATTTGGTTGCCTACCAGGGGATGATATTGCTGGAGAAGATTACGTCAACAATTTACGAAGGAAAATGAGCGACATTCACAGCCGAGTTCGTTTAAACATCCAGAGTGCCAGTGATAGAATGAAAGAGGCATACGACATCAAGGCGGAAAATGGAGGATTTCAACCTGGAGACCTAGTTTGGTTATACAACCCTCAGCGCCGTCGTGGTTATTCACCGAAGCTGCAGACTTCTTGGGAGGGACCATACGAAGTCATGGATCGAATAAATGACATCATCTACAGGATCAGGAAACAACCAAGAGGAAAGCCGAAAGTGATCCATTTCAACCGATTGGCTCCTTACGCTGGAAACAATGATGACCAAATGGACGATGCTAGAGTAAGGAGGGTTAATCCGCCGGAAGAGGAGTTGCCTTTTGAAGATTTCATGTATTTATATTCGAGTGGTAAAAAAGCTCGGTATGGTGTCACTCGAGAAGAACAAAAAGATCTGTTCACGATTTCGGCCGATTACTCCTTGGCTCACTGTGTTGCGGAAGACCTTAGGATGTCCAGGGGAATAGCGGTTGTCTTTAAAAACAAGTTTGGACGGGTTGATGAGCTACGGAGGCAGAATCCCAAAGTTGGAGAGGTGCTTGAAATTGTGAATAATGAGCAGATAGGCAATATAAGTATCTTCTATCTGGTAACGAAGCAGCTCTCCCATCAGAAGCCAAACTACCGTGACGTATGGAATGCCTTAAATAAATTGAGGGATGCCCTTTTATCCAAGGACATCATGAACCTGGCGATACCGAAGATTGCTTGTGGACTTGACGGTTTAGACTGGAGAATAATTAGAAGTATGGTGGAAGTTATCTTCAGATTTAGTGGCATACACATTCTTGTCTGTTGCCAGAACCCTAAAAGAACAACCGGAAGGAAGACCGTAGACTGCTACTTCTATAGGACGTCACAATGCAAGTTTGGATCTCTATGCAAATATCGCCATGGAGCTGAGGACCATTTTCGGGACGAAAATGTTTTAAGACGGGGGCAATGTAGCGAGTACCGCCCTGGATATCGGAGTGATGACTCATCGCCGATTAGTCATTGCCGGTGAGTCATCGCCGGTGACTCAGCGCTCGAATAATCGAGAGTGTGGAGCTCGCTGGAATGTTCCAGAATACTTGGGCGCTGAATATATAAGAAACGGAGCAACACAGAGCAGTTAGTTGAGCTTTGACACTCGCGAAGAAATAAATAAATATAAGTGCAAATAAATAAACTAGTAGTGATATAAATAATTAGTAGTTAAGTGTTTAGTTAGTTTTATAGTGTTTTAAGTGTATTTAAGTTATTAAATAAATAGTTTAGTTCGTTAATAAACCAGTGCGTGTTTTAATTCACACTACGAACAGTAAAAACGTTACAATATGCAGGTTTGTTTTATATTCTTCCTTATTTTGTATTAAACATGTAGGAGAATTGGATAACGTGTATTGAAAAAACTAGTACCTATAGAAAAAGAATATACTAGGTATAAGATGAGGCAAAGAAATTTATTTACACCGGTAAAAGCATAGAAATTAAATATAAATAGGTAAAAACACATTTCAAAAATTATAGGTTATGAACAAGTAAACAAATGTCAAATGTTAGAAACCTAACCATGGTTATATGAATTAACTGTGACGTCATGACTTATTTAACCGTAGTATTACATAGTATTTACGCGAAAAAACGACTATAGTTTCGAATATATATACATTTTTTCAGCCAGGTGAGCCATTAAAAATTTGCGAAAAAAGTCGAAAAAATTACAGACCTAATACAATTAATATGAGCCAATTTAACTAATTATAACAAAGTGGTTACAGAGTCTTTTAAAGGGCGTGAAATGCACTATAAATACCAATGTTTATTAACGCGGTAGCTTGAAACCCGTCTAAGCTATAGAAATTTAAAAAAAAACTGGACTTAAAATACATGTATTTTAAATGGGGAAAATCCAAAATACAAAAGGAAGTACTTAGAGTTAAAATTTCACCAGCATCTTTTGTTTTTCCTATGGCCGCCATATTGGAATTTTCCACGGTTAGTTGGAAAAAAATCAAGAAATCCAACGATGTATCAAACTACATAAGTTATGGCGGACATTACTCAACTGCTGGCTGTTTTCCAATTTATAGATTTCGTTTTATTAGTCTTGTAAACTTTTCTCTAATTTAACGGACCTTGTAGCTTCTCAAATAAAAAAATACCCATAAAAGTAACACACAGAAGGATTATTTTTTTCGTATTCTTAATGAAAAAGCATTAGTTAATAACTAATCCTTTTTCATTAAGAATACGAAAAAACCGCGAGTTTTTGTCGTGAAAATTTGATTTTAATCAAGATATTTCCATTGTCAAAGAGACAGCTATTTTGTTGACATAAAAGCATAAAAAATATGTAATTTTTAAAGAGTGCAAAAATAGATATTAAGTGGCGAAAAGCGGAGATTTCTGAAGAGTGTGCATCGCCTTTCGCCATGAGATATGTACACCATTTTTCATAACAAGCACAACGGAAATTTATAATTTTTAATTGTAAAGTTGCTATGGAATTCATATCAATCAATATTAATTAAAGATGCGCGATATACAGTGTGTATTAAAACGAACAGATACACTTAAATAAAACAAGTGCCAAACCCCGCCCACTGTGGTAGGGATTGAGAATTTTTAGGTTTTATTTTTATCGAATTCGTTTGTTTTGTTTTTATGCATTTCTGCAAATAAAAACTAAGTATTGTTTAAAATCCATTAAATTCCAGTTAATGGCGAAAATGTATTTCTTAAAAACTATACACATTTCCCTATGACAGCGTCGGAACTACTGAACAAACACAGTAGATCAGTGTTGCCAATTGCTTTTGGCAAAATTACACCCAAACTCTCCAGAATTACACCACATTACACCCTAACAAAAATTAAGCCTGATTTATAACATTGAAAATGTCGTATGCTCGAAACCCATATTTTTTTGCAAAAATAATACGTTATCAAATTAAAAAAACGCTTGTTTTCATAGATTGCATTTCTTCTGCGTGAAAACAAACAATACGCAAGCATTTACAAAAAATATGCAAATCTAAAAAGGAATTTGATCTATAACACTAAAATTTTGTTGCGATATTGATTCGGTAAATAAAATAAGTACTCACAGTTACTTTTTTTTCTACACTATTTTCAGGTTCTGCAGAAGTAGAAGGAGTATCTTTGGATAATAAATCATTGATATTACCAGTGCATTTCTAAAAATAATTTTAGATATAAAGGTATATATTGAGAATGAGATAGCGATCCATTTTTAAATAACAAAACCAAAATTCACATTCTACTTCTTTACCCATAATGTCAATACTACATACATATTATCATATTAAATCCAGGGATTCCCCTTTTTACAAAATGAATTATATTTTAATCACATTTAAAACTTTCCTTAAATAAAAATAGGTACGTTTTAAATGATCCGTCCAAAATTACACCCAAATTACACCGCATTCAAAAATGTTAGAAAATTACACCACAGTCAGTAAATTACACCCAAATGGTGTAATTACACCGCAATTGGCAACACTGCAGTAGATCAAACTGCATGCCGCGCTGTTGCCATATGCTATTATTGTTTCCTAAAGGGTTGTTTTTCTTATTTTTTAATATTAAAAGTAAGACAATTAACGAAATCAGATTATTTTTGACATATTATTAATTTTTTTTGTTATTTTTAAAGTTTCAAATAATTAAAATTGAACTATTTATTAAATAATTATAATCGTTCTCTTCTGATTTAAAACAACCTGGCAACTATGGTTCGTAATTACGAATGGCTTGGTTTAAACCACGCCCAATTAAAGTTTGTTTCTTTTTCTCTGATCAGAATCAGGGCTGGATGCTCCCGTGTACGAGTTTTGGTTCGTCCCGCGCATGACGTCACTTGATGAGTAGTTGCCGTGCGAATACACGAATAATAGTAATATTATCAAAGAAAATAGAGAAATTTCTGGACATAGTGCGTTTTTATTAAACTTAATATTGAAGAAAGTGTTATAATATGGATAATAAATGCTTTCAGTCCTTGATAACATTTAGGGCTGTAGTTTAAGCGTTGGTGTTTTAAATTAAACTTATAGTCACTGTCCAGAAAATGTTTATAGGAAACAGAAGCGGTCTTAACGTAAATATTGTCTATTATTTTTGTGGCATTTAAACCCTGTTTCCACAAATCAAACTTTTTCGGGAATCGATTAAATTTTATTATTATTATTTTTTTGTCCGAATTGCATCCAAATATGCCACACCGCATTTTAATAAATGCAAATGGCACTATACAATCTAAAACATAAACAAAACAAGTTAACGCAACACAAAAACATTAATAAACAAACCTAACAGGTTAACCTAACGCAATAACGATAATTTGAACGCTGAAAGGTAATTCGAACCTTACACAAAAACGACAAGTTAAACAAAAAGTAGAGCAAGTTAACATCCAAAAGCATCGCAAAAACAAGAATTTTAGCAGTAGATAATTAAAAAGCACGTTAAAGATTTAAAAACACTCATCAAGTGACGTCATTAAGCCCCGCCCAACATGCGCACCATCCTATCTTAAGGTGTATGTATCTTGGATCAGAATATTATTTGTCATCCTTGTCTCCAGCCTTACTTACTTGATTCTATACAGTCTGTATCATAAGTTTTTAATATTAGGAGGTTGGATTAAGGACGACGACGTCCCTCTCCCCACGCGTATACTCCAGCACCAAGCCGTGATGGACGAAGGTCTCCTGGACCGTAACCTGACCGTCCTGGCGATATTCCCGAGCCCCATGATGTACGCGGGACCGAACGAGGTGCAGTGGCACGCGAAGGCGCGCATGAACGCCGGCGCCAACTTCTACATAGTGGGCCGCGACCCGGCGGGGTTGCCGCATCCCGCGGGCAAAGAGGCGACGCCGGACGGCAACATGTACGACGTCACGCACGGCGGCCGCGTCCTGAAGATGGCGCCAGGGTTGAACAGTCTGGAGATTATCCCCTTCAGGGTGGCGGCGTACGACGTCAGGAATAGGAGGATGGACTTTTTCGATTCCGGCAGGAAGGACGACTTTGAGTTTATTTCGGGGACGAAGATGAGGGCTCTGGCTAGAAGCGGGGAGTTTCCTCCCGATGGCTTTATGGCCCCCAAGGCTTGGGATATTTTGGCCGGGTATTACCAATCTTTGAATAAGATTTAATTTGCGCAAGGCCAATTTTCATTGGTATTGTTTCCATTTTGCTCATTCCTCTCTATATTATTGTCCATTCCTTGTAAAATTAATGTCCTGACTATATATAGAGATTTAACGGTTAAAAAAACGGTTTCATTTCTAGACCATTGGAAAAATTGGAAAAGAAGACAAATTGAAAAATTATTAAGTCCAAACCGAAAACCTGAAAATATAAATATTATCTTATATTTGAATAAAAATTATATATACATAAATATTAGTTAAATGCAAAACAATTCGCTAGTAAATTAAAATTGCCGCATCAATTCGTCGTTAACAATATTTGAAATATTTTAATTTAATACTATAAAGCATGTCTAGCAATTAAACCACTTATTTTTTTATAAAATAGGACCCCTAATTTTTTAGGACTAACATAACTTTAATTTTATGCAAGAACCAATAACACTTATTTTGCTTTTACTGCTTTTCTTCATTATTTTTAAATGCAAATGTTTTTAATGCATATCATATTGTATAAGCAAGTCTGTAGTCAAAGGGAGGATAAAAAAAATTAAATTGACGAACAATTTTTGAAAAAAACCTAATTTGTATTGTTGTACCCGTTTTTTTATTATCCAATCCCCCAGAAACTTTTTTCTAGCTATAGCCGTATACGGCCTTGATATAAGGGAATAATTTGATTTGTAAAAGATACAAACATTTACGGGCGTTTCTCTGTAAACTGGGCAACTTGAAGTAAGAAATTGTCTAGGCAAGTTTTTTTGTTATATTTTTGTTGTCTTTAATAAATGTTATTCGAGGAATAAATATCGGTCTATTTATTAGTATACGGCAGATGAACCAAAAACATTCCTATTACTTTGGAAAACATTGAGCATTTTCTGAAAAATCTATACAGGGGACTGTTTATAAAATCCGGAGACAAAGTTTAGATGACTTTTTTAGAATCACAAAATAATAATTATAAAAAATAAATAAGTCACAGTAACAAGCAAACAATATTGCTTGAATAATTAAACAATTAGGTTGATTTCAATAGTTACTGTCTTTAATTAATTTAGTCTGAAAAGACCATTTTGCTTTGGTGACACGTCAGGGGACTGGTTTTTAAGGACTATAAAAACGATTTTGATACATTAAAGTTTATTTTATTGGATTTTGAACGTCGAGCATAGGTAGATTAGGTTATTATCTTTTGAAGTTATCTATGAAATATTTATGATCTGTTATTTTTCTAAACAATATTAGCTTGAGACAATGAGTTGCCCAGTTTACAGAGAAACGCCCTTACGCATTTTTAAGCAATATTTTGTTACCTGTTTATTTAGTTTTATTTCTTAACAAATAGTTTATATATGGTTGTTTACTTTTTAATATATTTTATTATATCCATGGCCTTTTATTTGTTGCCTCATAAGAACTATTTTGTGTGAAAACTTATACATGTACTTTTTTAATTTTGAGTGTGCACATGTGTCCATGGACACCTTTGTGAGTTTTTAAAAATAAAATAAATTTATTTAAGGACGGATTTTCAAAAAGTTTTTTTTTCCCATTGTAGAGAATTAAATGCTGAGAAAGCAAGAAAGGTGGAATAAACTTTATTTTATTAGCAAGAGTGTGCTATGACTTTAAAATGACAAATGTTAGACAGTTGTTAAAAATGAAATATAATAAATTTTGTCATAGCTAATGTGACCAGACGTACCGATTTTGGCGGGACAGTCCCGAATTTTGAAATATGGTCCCGCGTCTGGTTTCAACAGAAAAAAGTCCCGATTTTTGTGTTTGATTCATATACAAGTATACTTGGAGGTTTTTTTAAAAAAGTGGTTTGATTTCCTAGGGTACTAGTAAATATATTTCGACCAACCGATTATCCTGTTAAATATGTGGGGAAATGTTCCACACACACGAAAAATTATAAAAAAAAATTTTAATTTAAAAGTATCAAGTTAATACGTTTAAACTTGATACTTTGAAATTCAATAAAAAAATGTTTTTATATATATAATTATTATAATTATAATTTCCTTAAACTACGGAGGCCCCCGACTTCGACGTTCCGGGACTTTGAGGCAACAGAAATCTGGTCACTATGACTCATAGCACACTTGCTAAAAATAAAGTTTAATCTAACTTCGTGATTTCGGAAAAAATTACTTTAATAAATTTAGTCAGTTTTACAATAAAAAATGCCATTTCTACAATGGGGAAAAATCTACTCTTAATTCAAATACTTTTGTATTTCAATTACAAGTACTTTATACTCATATTTTTCATTTGAAATTCTTATTACTCAAGTACGATCCTACTTCCAACCAAATTCAATGAACTCGTAAAAAATACTTGTGGAATTCACGAGTAATATACGAGTATTTCCATTTTTTATATCGATGACTTTTTGACAAAATATCGCAAGCATCGTTGTTTTAAATTATTTTATAAATAGTATAATATAATTATATTATATATTTAACATATATTACTCGTATATTATAGCCTATAATAAATAAATAGGTAAAATTATATTTACTTGTTATAAAACCTAAAGGATATATATTAGGGTGTGTCATTTTTAGGCGATATTTTTTTTTTCGCTGTTATACCAGAAAATCTAATACTTTATAGAAAATAAAAAATTATGCCTCCGGGTAAAAGGTTCTAAGTGCAATAGCGGCTTAGCTCATTTAAAAATTCAATTTCCCATTGAAATAAAACAGAAAATTTTTTTTCTTCGTTTTAATTAGATTTTTCGCTGTTAAAAACTTTTTTCCCTAAAAACTTTTTTATAGCTTTTGTGGGAAATTAAATTCTCTACAAAATCATCCCTTTGCTCGAAGACCGTATAACCAGTAGTTTCAGAGTTATAGCGCTGGAAATATAAACTTTTATAAAAATAGACCTCAAATTCCATTTTATTTTTAAGGGATGATTTTGTAGAGAATTTAATTTCCTACAAAAGCTATAAAAAAGTTTTTAGGGAAAAAAATTTTTAACAGCGAAAAATCTAATTAAAACGAACAAAAAAATTCTTCTGTGTTATTTCAATGGGAAATTGAATTTTTAAATGAGCCAAACCGCTATTGCACTTAGAACCTTTTACCCGGCGGCATAATTTTTTATTTTCTATAAAGTATTAGATTTTCTGGTATAACAGCGAAAAAAAAAATATCGCCTAAAAATGACACACCCTAATATATATAAACCAATTTTTTTTTCAAAATTATATGTTAACATATAGCCTATAATAAATAAATAGGTAAAATTATATTTACTTGTTATAAAACCTTAAGGATATATATAAACCATTTTTTTTTCAAAATTACTACTTGTAACCGTAACCTCTCTTTACAAATGTACTCATACTTAAAACTTTACAAATACTTTTTTTAGTACTCTTGCCCAGCTGATATTAATTAATACTTATAGAGTAAGATCCCAGGGCCGCCAGACCTACGTCATTTTAATACTGCTGAGATTTTTTTAATAAATGTTCTAATATGTAGTTAAAAACGTATGGGTACTTGCAAGCTTGAAAGCGGGGCCATTTTACAGATAACGGGCACTAATTAGTGTAAAGGTACATAAAAAAGGTACCTGTCTACGTTAAAGTAATACCGCTGGTTTTCATATATGTTTTACACATTGTTATTAAAAACCAACATTCATTATTGCCAGACGCATTCCAGGGGACCTAACTTCCGCCAGACGCTTTAAAGCTCAAGAAAAAAGGGCTGAACCTACGTTATAGTAGTACTCCTGAATTTTACATATATTTTTTGAGTGATTATTTTAAGACCTTTTGTAAGCAGCCAGACCAATCCGAGGGGCCCAAGCCCCACCCAGACGCTTTAAGGGTCAAGGAAAAAGGGGGGAATCTACGTTATAGTAGTACTCCTAAATTTTACATATTTTATTTGGTTGACTATTTTAAGACCTTTTTTAAGCAGCCAGGCCAATCCGAGGGGCCCAAGCCCCCCAGACGCTTTAAAGGTCAAGGAAAAAGGGGGGAACCTACGTTATAGTAGTACTTCTGAATTTTACATATTTTATTTGGTTGGCTATTTTAAGACCTTTTATAAGCAGCCAGACCAATCCGAGGGGCCCAAGCCCCCCCAGACGCTTTAAAGGTCCCGGAAAAATGGGGAAACCTACGTTATAGTAGTACTTCTGCATTTTACATATTTTATTTGGGTGACTATTTTAAGACCTTTTGTAAGCAGCCAGACCAATCCGAGGGGCCCAAGCCCCCCCCAGACGCTTTAAAGGTCAAGAAAAAATGGGGGAACCTTCGTTATAGTAGTACTTCTAAATTTTATATATACTATTTAATTGGCTATTTTAAGATCTTTTGTAAGCAGCCAGACCAATCCAAGGGCCTACGCCCCCCCAGACGCTTTAAAGCTCGAGAAAAAATAGAGGAACCTACGTTATAGTACTAATCCTAAATTTAACTTTTATTATTTGGGTGGCTATTTTAGGACTTTTTATAAGCAACCAGACCAATCCGACGGGCCCAAGCCCCCCCAGACGTTTTAAAGGTCAAGAAAAAATGGGGGAACCTACGTTTTTGTAGTTCTCCTGAATTTTACATATTTTATTTTGTTGACTATTTTAAGACCTTTTATAAGCAGTCAGACTCATCCAAGGGGCCCAAGCCCCCCCAGACGCTTTAAAGGTCAAGGAAAAAGGGGGGAACCTACGTTATAGTATACTATAACGTAGGTTATAGTACTATAGTACTCCTGAATTTTACATATTTTATTTTGTTGAGCTTGGGCCCCTCGGGTTGGTCTGGCTGCTTATAAAAGGTCTTAAAATAGTCAACCAAATAAAATATGTACACTGAGAAAATCTCTTTATGTTCCTTGCTAAAATTTCAGCAACCATAGCTAAATCATTTGCTTAAATAGGGGACAGCCAAACACTTTACTATATCAGGATAACGCACTTTGCTGAACAGACTTTCCTGTGGCAATCAAACTACTTTGCAAAGAATAATTCTGTTGTGCTACAAAGTAATTTTTCTATGCCTAAAAAGTAACTTTGTGTGGTTATAAAGTAACCAATAAATAACTATAAAATCTTTTACTAAGGCAACAACAAATTTCTGCTATGCCAGAAATGTTTTTTAATGACAACAAAAATACCTAGCTGTCTCTGTAGAGACATGTGCTGCTAAAAACATTATTTCTACCATGGATAAAATATTTTTTTTTATAGTGAGAAGCTTCTTTTTTGCAGCAATAAACAAAATTT